CCGAGCCGACGTATCCTGTGAAGTACAGCGGCCGGTCATGGGACGTGTTCTTGATGAGCATGTCCTCGGGGGTGAAAGTGATGCAGGGGATCTGTCTCTCTGAAACTTGGCAGCAAGTTGTACAGCCCTGTTCGATCTCCGTTTCTTTTGAGAAATGGGTCGAGAACGCCTCTGCGTCAGCCAACGCCTCTTGTAAGGCTTCCCGGGTAGGCCTAGACAACCGGAGGAGGTCGTACACGGTGATTCGCGCGGGTATGCTTTTCAATTGCGCGAGCACGTTGAACCGGTAAGGCTGGCGGCTTGAACTTGGCTCATCCGGATTGGGAGGGACTGCTGCGGCCGGCCTCGCGGGAGGTCCTGCTGGGTTTTCCGTCCTCGCGGGATATTGTTTTGCAAACTCCTTTCCGGCTCTCGTGGCGAAGACGTTGGTGTCTTCTTCAGAGTCGGTTAAGGCCGTCATCGCCGCGTCGTCTGTATCCAGAATGGCGGTGACAACGTTGTAATATTTCCTCTTAGCCTCCTTGGAAGGCTGTACGGTCCACTGCTCGTCGTCGAGGAGGTCCGGATGGACCCACATCACTTGCCCTGATGGCAGAGTTTGTGGAACCAAACCCTTCTCCCGCTGGTTGTGAGGATCGTCGTTAGTGATCTTCAAAATCGCCTTGGGGATAGGAATTATCCCCGCCTTGCTCGCCTTGGCGAACAAGTTCCTTCCAAGTCCGGGTTTCAACTGCCCCTATTTTGGACAGGATGTAGATTGACAGATTATTGCGGCACATCTCGATCAGTGTCGCCTCGGAAACTTGGTCCCGACAGTGGACTGATCGATTTCGAAATCTCTTCACGAAGTCGTTAACTGACTCCGACTTCCGCTGCTTCTCATGATGGAGCCAGGCTCCAGTTTGCGGAACCACTCAAAGGCCACCCCCTTGAGGGTACCTATGAATAGTCGGGTGAGAATGGCGTCGTTCCCGGTGAGGAATCCGGTCTGCGCCATGAAGTAATAGATATGTTGCGAGGGTGACCCCTTGCCATCGAACTGCACCAAACTGATTGGTTTGAACTTCGCCGGGTATGGGACCGTGTCCCATTCGATAGGGTAGGGACGTACCACCCCCAGCTTGTTCATGTTTTGCTGAAGCTTCAGCGCGTTCAGTTGGTCTGGAACTCGTCGAATCTTTTGTCACGGGTGCTATCCGCGGTGTGCGACGTTCCTATCGATGTTTTGGAGGAGTAATCGGATTGTCGATCATCCTCCGTCTCAGCCGCTGGACGGTGAGGTGGTACCCACTCCTTATCCCTAGTCTGCCGGGGTAAGGGACGCTGGGTCCTCTTCTTCTTCTTCTTGTTCAGCAGTTGCTCCATCATCTCTCTCAGAGAGTCGATGGTCGCCTGCTGTTCCTCCAGTTTTTGGGCCATTGTTTGCTCGGTATCGAGTGCGGTCATGTGTACTCTCGCCTGCGCATCTTGACTTGAGCGCGAGGTTTGAGATGTGGCCGCTGCCGAATGACCTTCGTCTTCGCCGCAGGAGGGAGGTACCAGGGTGGAATAGTCAAACCCGATACTTACTCCCCTGCGACTACGGGTTCGCTGGAATATGCCTTCCTGTCGGCGTCGAGCGAACCGGGTGTTAGGTCTTAAGACGGAGTCCGAGTCTGGCGAGTCGGAGAGTACCGCCTTCCCTTTATCCGTCATGTTGACTGTGGCGGATGAGAGTTCCAGGTCGTCAGCAGCGCGTCTTTTCTGGTGACGGCGCCTTCGACGGGAGGGCCTCGGTCGAGAAGCCTGTTGAGAAAGTCTCTCAAATACCGAAGGTTTCGCCGTTCCAACGCATTGGCAGTCGGCGAGGACCGTGTGGATGAGTCTCTCGCAATGACACTGAGGATTCGCCTCGTGAATAGTGCGTTTGCGAGTCAAGAATTCTCTGAGGTCTTCTACGGGTGGTTGGTGACAACCCCCGGCCTCAGAAGAGTCGCTCTGGTGAGCTGTCGAGAGATTTTTGGGCGCTCTCTCTGGCGCTCGTTGGGTGGAACGCCTTGGTGTTGGAGTCGGGCGATCTCGCCTTGACTGGCGAGTCTTCGCGTTTGAGCGAACTCCAGTACGTGGGCGAGTTTCGACTCCATGTTTAGAAGAGCGGGTTCGGGAGGAACCGTCTATTTCTTTTCCTTTACGTTTATCTGCCAAATGATTATGGCGAGGCTCGCCAGCCTTCGAGGATTCGCCCACTTGGGTAGGCTCGTATGCTCGGTGTGGTTTGTTCGCATCAGGGATATGACCTGAGAAGCGAAGTCCTCCTGAGCGTATGGCTCTGCTGTCCTCGGTTGACGCTCCTGATTTGGAGGGCCTTCCTAGGTCGGGCAGCTTGCCTTCCCGTCTAGTGTTTCTCGGGCCTGTGTGATGGTTCAGGCTATTATGAGAAATGGATGTTTGGACCCCCTGTCTGACGGGTGTTTGCCGTCGCTGTTGGTTAGTTCTCCCAGCGGGGAGAACGTCACCGTGGGTTGTGGCATTGCGGTTTGTGCCGGAGTGAACCGGCGCTCCCTCCGAGGTAGGTGTCTGTGTGGACCGCTTGGCGATCCATCTGGCAGACCCTTGCCTCTTGCGCTCGATCTCTGGCTTGGCCTTGATCGATCGCGAGGGAGTGGGCTCCTCCGATGAGACTCGGTTGGAACCCTCGGGTGCGGAGGCTTTGACCGTCTGAGGTCGGCCTCGGCGCACAGCTCTGTGGCGTTTGCGGGACGCATTGCCACCCGAGGAGGAGGAGGACAAGTATTCTTCGTACTTGGCCTGGTCGAACTCGATTTCGAGGGACTCTACTGTCGTCCCGATAGTAACCTCATCAAACTGAGCCACCACCATTTCACTCGATGAAACAGCTGCTCCCACTGTGGTCGCCATCTTCTGTAGGGTGAAAATTTGATTCTTCCGAAGAAAGGAGTTTCGTTTGTATTTATAAGAAAGCTTATTACAAACTAACAAATCAAATGTTTACAACAGAAGCAGAGGGAAGGCCCTCTTTGTTTTGTGTGGGGACTTTAGGTGGCTATAGGACGCTTCGCTCGATGCTCGGGTCGAGTCTGCTTCCCTTGGACCGTTTGAATGAGGTTGCTGGAGAGCTTCAGTTCGCAGTAGAAGCTCGGGGCAATGGAGTTCGGGTCTGCTTGGTTCGTCGGCGATCGGAGCTCGGAACTAGGCAGCAGTGCTGTAATGCAAGGATTTGCTAACAGCTTGGTCTCAACTCTTTTTTCTCCAAGTTTTGCGACCTCTCTTCCATCGTGCTGGAAGGGGTTTTTAAATGAAAGAAGGACAGCTTGACTTCTCCTTGAATTGTGGGATGTGACCACATCCTCTTCAGAGACGTCTCGCCGTTCCTCGATACCATGAACGGTCATTCCAGGGATTGTGCTCTATGTCCTGTCACCTACGATGGGAAGGCCCATTCTTGTATGTGAGGCAACAAACGACTGCTATCCGAGTGGATTTGACCAGCATTAATGAACCGCATTTATGAGTTCGCAGATCGATGAAGTGTCTGTCCGATCACTTGTACTGTGCGTGACCGCCCGGCGTGCTTTGAGCACGATGCTTTCTCCTTTCCGGTCAGGAGAGGCGGTGAAGTAGGGGTACAGTACTCGAGTGTGTCTAGCCAGCTTGCCGAGTGCCGACGGATCCAGCTCTTGGTTCAGACAGCCGAGGTGAGTCGCATTTATGAATGCTCAGGTTGACTCGACGCCTGTCCAGTCCTTCGCGCTGTGTGCACTGTGGGCGGCCGTTTGACGGTCCTGGGGTACTGTGCTCTCTCTCCCTTCGGGTCGAGAGAGATGGGAAGGTCCATCTCAGCATGTGGGGTAGTGGATACCCAGCTGTACTGACGGTTTTGGGGCTTGCTGGCGGATTCGACTCCGAACTCGGGCAGGCGAGTTGAGCGAAGAGCGAATTTCCGCCATCCTGATCGACCCTGACTCATGCTGGCGAGTCGACCGTTAGGCGAACCTGGACTTGAGTACAGTCGACGTCTACGCGGTTTAGGTCCGTGCCAGAGAACTGGGCGTGCGAACTCTTCTCGTAGGCAAATTTCCTGTAGACCCATAGAGGTATTTTTTTACCGTCTACATGGACCCTAAGGGATTCGGTTGGAATATGGATTGAGTCGGCTGGACCCTAGGGGAGTTGGCTTGCCTTACCACAGATGGACCCTTGAGCTCTTTTACCTGTTCCAAGTTGTTGTGCAGGGATAAAGGTAATTTTTATTGCCTACAATTTCATACACATACTTCGCATTAGGCCAGAGCTCTGGAATCATATTGCACCAGTTGCTTAAACTCATGCATTTCCTATATATTGTATCAGCCAAATCTCGATTAGGAGTAAAATTTAGAAACAGCTTCTCTGAGTGAAGGAATTGTAATTTTCTTTGAGAGAATCCCTTCTCTGATATCAGCACAGAGTTCTTCCCAAACATGTTTAAATATTCTCAATGCATGAACAATGCTGAAGACAAATGCAGAAGAAATTATCTGCACCTCTTGGGAGTAAATTAACCCACACGAGAGATGACAGTACACTGACTGGTTGTAGTCTACGCAGAAAATGACTTCGTCTAGGCTACAGCATTGAGAATGGATGTCCTGCATTGTGTTCTTGAACTGTCGGTTTCGGTATACGTTAGTTGTGTTTGCTGTTGCAATTAGACCCCCTTTAGTTAAGGATTGTTTTCTTGCGTATATAAATTGGAGAGCTTTTCCATCATTTACGAGGCATTCTCTGTGAAATTGGTCCTAGATGAGTTCATCAGAAAAATATTGACATACAAGTTTTATCCGAAAGTTTAAGCTGGTAGGTAATGGCATATGCTTCATAATGAATATCAAGCCAAGAGATTTAGATGAGCATGCTTAAAGCTGCTGCAGTATAATTTTTTCTCATGGGAACATTAATTTCATAATATATTTTTTCCTCAAAAATGAATTTCATAATAAATTTACCTATAATGAACAAAATAAACTTACCTATTTATAAAAGCAAATGACGTGCGATAAATCTGCATCATGGATCGCAACATTTCCTCGTTGAAGGGAATAAGCTTCGATTTTCGGTGTGTCGTACCAGAACTACAGCAAATATGCAAGCTTTCAAAACTTATGAGAGGCAAATAAAAGTTAGATTTAATAAAAAAATATTGAAGAGAAATTTTAGTACCTCAACGACAATGCTTTAACTAGCCTCCCTGTTAGAATTGGTGAATCATCACCATCCACGATTCTCTGTAAATAAGGTTCCAGGTCCTCATGAGTGACAAGAGGAATACAAGCTTTCAAGCTTTCAGGATCAGTTCTCCCTCTGAGGCCTGAAGCCTGTAAGTATTCTACTTGGCCATTTTGTTCAAGAATCTTTTGGAGTGTTTCTTTTTGAACAATGGTAGCATTGTTAGTCATTTTCTCAAATTCTTCTATCTCTAGCTCCACAGATTTTGAATTCATTTTGGGGTTGCAAGTAACCATTCAGCTGATACTACAACAACTGAGCCTAAAAATAATTGAAAATTTATGAGCCAAGTAGTCATAGTAATTAAGTGCCTCGTGCAATAGTCTGAAAGGGAAATTTGAATAAACAGTAGATCATGGTCCTCAAAAGGGCAGAACATTGTAAGGGGGGATACTTCAGCCGGTTAAGGGTAAACAAACATAAGTTTAATGTTTTTGGGATGAAGAAATAGTTCAATTAATATCATAGTAATGAAACCAGACTGCTATATTCATCAAGTACAAGTTTTACAAGAGGATAGTACAACTTTTACAAGAGGATATTGGGCGTGTGAATGATAAATATGTGTGCATGTACCTGTGTCGGGTGTCTGGATTAGAAATGTAACTTAAATATTGCAGTATGAATCAAAGAGGACTAACAAATATATGGTACATACAAATCACTGAATCGTATAGATGATTCCACAGTGCATTTAATCTCAGTCAAGATACTATCAACCATACAGAAAAAAACTATTTCCAGAAAGTTATTAAGCAAAATTAGCATATTAGTATATTTTGTTGACCCTACGTGACAGGTTGGTATATTTTCTTACTCCGGTGATGATATGGTATATTTTGTGAACCACTGTGACAAATACCCCTATTTTTTGGCCGAAGCCAAAACTCCGGCAAAACAAAGTCACGTGCATCCGTGTGGCTGCTCAAATTAGGTCTAAAAAAAGTTAGGGCTCAAATTAGGGATATTCTTTTTCCTCCCAGGGTTAATTTGGTTATGGCAACTGAAATTGGAGATGGAACACCTCACATGACCCTCTTTGGTCGAAATTTTGTCTCCGACCTGGCATTTGTCACTGTGATCCACAAAATATACCATATCATCACCGGAGTAAGAAAATATACCAATCTGACACGTAGGGTCAACAAAATATACCTATCTGGTAATTCTGCCAAAGTTACTATCTAAATGAAAATAATGTCAAATTGAAACCATACTTCAAAATGCAGAAACTATAAAGCTCAAGTAAATTTTTCTTGATAGTTTAGGCTTGTATTCTCATGCCTGTCAACTTCTATATGGACCTGGACCGCTGGACGAACACTGCAATGTCTCGTCAACATTTACGTTGCTCACTCGCAACTAAAGAGCTGGCGTTGGCTATGATACAATGTGTTAGAGACCTAGCAAATGGCGCTCCAAAAAGCTAGTTATTAGAGGGGGGGAAATTCAAATCTCTAATAAACCCATGTTTACTACTCATTCAGTTAATGTAGTAACTAAATGAACCCCAATATTTAAGGAAGTCATGAGATCTACTTTGACAAAATACTAAGACCTACACATATAAACAGTTTAAGTACATAAAGGTTATAAGATATTCTGCAAAATGAACAATGATATATGAGGATTGTCCTTAATTGGAGAAAGGAGTACCTTAAGGCAGCGTTTAATTACTTCACCTAATTCCAACCCCACCTCTTGTCCCAATCCCACCACCATTTTGAAGTAAACGGTCTAGATATCCCCAGGACTAAAAACTTCACTTACATTATTTACTTTTTTCAACTGTTTGATCAAATTTTCAATTTTGTCAATGGTTAATAGTTTTATAAAAAATTTATTTTTCTGAATACAGGACCAAGCTTCATGTTACACACAAGTTTCCAAACTTGCATGGCTACAAAAGAAAGTTGGAATAATTTACTATGTACAATTGAAGAAGTTAACTGAAGAGAACGAGGGGCTACAAGTTTTCCAAGAATATGATATATTTCCAAATTCAGAAATTAGCTGAAGAGAACAATAGGCTACAGAAGGAAGTTAGGGAGCACAGAGCATTGAAATCAGAATTACCTCAGCTTCAAATCTATGTACCTACTAAACATCACTAGTGCTTGCCATTATGAAAACGACTCGTACAAGTATTCAAACAGCAATTAACTTATCTTCATCTAGGGAAAATTTTCTGTTGGACATATTAAGAACCTGCTCCTGGCGACAGACTTGGTAGCTGGAGTGCCTCTAGGCTCCAGTGAATAAGAAGACAAGTAAGGGTGAAACAATGCTATTGCCTAATTCATGCCATTTAACCTGGCAGATAATATTTTATCGTTTATCAATTTTGTGATGCGCAGGTGACGTATAAGCCAATTTTAATTTATCCCAACAGCGGGGAAACTCATGACGCTGATAAAAAGGAATGGGTGGTAAGTAAACTTCTATCATGCATCTAAGCACGCAATTCCACTCGATAAATTTTCTTCGTACTGAAACTTCACTCTCTTACATTTTTGCGCAATTTTGCTACTAGGAGTTTGCTGAATTTTCACATGTGCACGCTCATAACTGAATCCCATACACATGGATCACATGCTGAATCCCAAAATTTACGGTTATAAGCAAGAATGATATCTTTTGAAGTAATCAGTCATCCCCTTGTGGTGGATGTAGCCTAACCTAACTAAACCTTCACAAGAATAGGCAAGTTCAAAGATCACAGTTAAAACAGAACATAGGAGACACCAAGCTTAGTCAATAATAGAGTAGATTCACAGAAATTGGAAGAAGAATTCAAATAAAATCCCGACAATTGGCGCAAACATTAGATGAAAAAGGGCAGGAAAGAAGTCAAACAAGCATCAAGAATTCCAGGGGCATTGCCAAGCTCATCAACGCTTTAAAATAATGAATAATAGAAATCCAAATGCAGAAATATCAAGCTTTGATACAAATAAGTCTAAAGCAGCATTTCACCAAACACTTAGCAAGCAAATCCTAATTGAATGTGGACTTTGATACCTTAGTGTAATTTCAAGCGTTGTGAACTCAGAGATGGCCTCGGCTTTCTCTCTTAGATCAAAATGGAGCCTCCAATTTATGGTATAAGCACTAGGCAGCACCTGGATTAGCATGCAAAGCCCACTACATGCTTGAATATTTGCACGGCTTTAATGTCTAATAACACATATTAAATGCAATAGAAGTTACATTTTGTTATTAGTCATTATGTGATATTCAGTTATTTTGGAATGGTATCCAAGAGTTACTTTTTTATGATTCAAAAATTAGTAATGAATTCTGATAGTCTTCATTTGTAGCTATAAGTATTCTAGGCATATGATGAAAAGGAGCAAATAGTATATAATCTTTGGAGAAAATTGTTATTTCACTTGCTTCTAATTCTTTTAAGAACCGTAAATAATGAGGAATTTTGATATAGTACATATCATGTTTATATAATTCTGCCTTCTCTTGATCCATCATGATAAATATTAGTCGACTTTATTTTGTCGCTTAATTTAATCTCATGTGATTTTTGGGTGCTTTAGGGAAATTTTTAGGATTTGTAAGTGAGGAGAGATTACACATTTTTATGTGTGTTGTATCTGAATAATTTCATCTTCTTTTACTTCATCACGTGAATTAAATTACATGATCATTCTTGCGAAAATTTTTATAGTCTGAACCAGAGATGAATACTTTGAGAAGTAAGGCTACTTGAAGATTGAAACTAAGGTTTGTGAGAGGTTTACATACTTAACCCCTTAATCTTCCAATTAATTATTATTTAAAAATAAATTCTAACTAATGAATCCTATAATTGACCTTCTCTCAAACAAATTCACGATTAGACTTCTCAACTCTTCTCGACTCTAAATTAATGAATAATTTAGTTGATAAGTTGGTGTATAAAGTGAAAGAATGTAGGACAAAGTCTATCAATTTTAGTTTTAACCTCTTATCTCTTAAAAAAATTTGTGAGGTTGCAGGTCATGGCATTGATCGGAACTTCGCATGCAGGATCGATGACGGTATTCAGGCACTCATCAACTCAAGGGCGAAGAAGTTGCTTATTGGAATCTTTCATCAGATATAGAAAAACAATAAAGAAAAATAACAAATAAATGTAACTATATTATAGATAAAATATAACTTTAATTGGAGTCTCTTCATCATTTTCATGTTCATGGAAATAGTCAAAAACATAATCAAGTTGGTACACAGAAATCAGAAACCCAAAAGTCTCAAGTCTTTTTTTTCTTCTCCCTCTCCTTCGATTACTATATAGATCCTTCAATATATCCCCACTCTCTCTACCTTCATCAATGGGCAATCAATTTACAATGATAGTTATTATTGTTCTTATCATCTTAGATACAACCCTAAATTAAGTTTTTAGAAAAATATTATGCATCTCTGTCATCATCTCTTCAAATCTCAAATTTTAGTGCATCAGGAAGGAAACAAATTCAGGAAGGTGATTATCAAAGGAAAAAATTGGGTATGATTTTTGCAATTTTTTTAACTTTGATTTTGATTTTAAAATTCTTTGTCTATACTCTCTCTTTCTTGGTTCTTACCTTTCTTTAATGTTGTTCCCTATTATCATATATTTTTTCTTACTAGAATGCCGTATTAGTCGACAACAACTAACTATGATAATGATTAAATAAGCATACTCTTCATGTTATATGTGCCTTACCTAGAATAATCGTTAATAGCCTGTCTTAAGTGTCTTTTGAATCCCATTCGATCTGCTAAAAATTCATTAACCCCAAGCATGCCAAAAAGGGTATTGTAAATACAACTATTACAATAAAAGATGAGCCATTACTAAATTCCTTAACGCACCATACTTGCACACATGTTGTTAAGCTTTGAAAATTAGAAGGCAGAGGTAGCACTGGTAAAAATATTCAATCATATTTGTTTACTTTCCAGACTATCAAATGTTGTTGTGGCAATAAAACTGCTGCCAACGACGTAATCTGTGAGGTACCTATATCCTCATTCTGACAGCATTAAGTCAAGGACGCCCGAAAATTAAAGATTTGTGGGTGTCATGGTAGTGTCGCCACTAGACGCTAAATTATCGACAAGGGATTTGGACGGGAATCGAGAGATAAAGAGAGCCTCAAAAGGTTTAGATTTTA